TAGTGACTTAATTCAATTTTAATAAAAATCATTTAAATAAAATAGGCCAATATCACTAGAATTATGCTTTTGCAATTGTCCCCACTTCCCTCACCTCCACAAAAAAGTAACTTCAGAGCCTCTGACTCTTTGGAATGAGATTATTTAGACCTATCTGGCAGAATCTAGAGGACTTCTCATCAGGGTCAATGGTATCCTCTCCTGTCTGAAGGACCAGAAACTGAGCAAACCAGCAGCAAAGCCCAGAAGACAGCACAGGTCTTTAACATTTTAGCCCAGTGACCTAAGAATAAAATCATCTTTCAACCAGTGAGTGAAGCTGTGGTCTGTTTTACTCGGTCTTCCAACTTGTATCAGTGGTAGCAGTTCAGTTCAATAAACATATGAGTACTAACTGTGCCAACTCTATAACTTAATTTGTATCACATCTAATCCAGTGGTCCTTTCCTACAGTCTTATGACTCAAGAAGGCAGAGCACTTGTAATGGGAAGCATCATGATCAGGAAGCCAGAGGAACTCTGTTTAAATGGGCTATGCCATTAACTAGCTGTGTGACCTAGGGCAAGCCATTTCCCTCTTAGTCTTCAGAATTCTTATTCTCAAAGGGAAAGGGCAGGAAGTTGGTTAATATGATCTCCAAGATATCTAGTGCTTTAAAAAAAAATGTCAAAAGCATAATTTCTACTTTCATTCCAAGAAGAATCATACAGCCATTGATATTAAGAAACTGATTCATGATGTAGTACTTATTCCATCACCCAAACACTTTCCAACAGATGGAGGTGGAAATGGTGCTCTCCAGTATGAGATTAATAATGAATACATGTGCAGATTGATGAATACATCTGCAGAAATACTTCGCATTCTAAAGAATTGCAGTCTGATTGTTTCTAAGAGGTAGGCACTTACTCCATGGTTAACATCCTATTGCTCATCTCAGATGGATCCAAGTGCTGCTCATGCACCTCTCATGATCAAGCCTTCCCAGAGCTCTGCTCAGCTGACAGAGCCAATTATATGACTGTTCCCCATTCTCTTTATGAATCTCCCGTCTCCCTGCTGTTACCCTGCAGCTCCTGGATGGTCCTTCCGTCTACTGAAGCTTCTGCTTTTCAAATCTCAGCTCCTATGCCACTTCCTTCATGAAGCTAAGTCTCTTCTCTCTTTAAACTTTCATGCCCTGGTAATTGTAAATAGTGCTGCAATGAACATTGGGGTACATGTGTCTTTTTGAATTATGGTTTTCTCAGGGTATTTGCCCAGTAGTGGGATTGCCAGGTCATATGGTAGTTTTGTTCCTAGGCTTTTAAGGGATCTCTGTACTGTTCTTAAGTGGCTGTATCAATTTACATTCCCATAACAGTGCAAGAGGATTCCCTTTTCTCCACATCCTCTCCAGCATTTATTGTTGGTAGATTTTTTGATGATGGCCATTCTGACTGGTGTGAGGTGATACCTCATTGCAATTTTGATTTACACTTCTCTAATAATGAGCGACATTGAGCATCTTTTCATGCGTTTATTGGTCATCTGTATATCTTCTTTGGAAAAATGTCTGTTTAGGTCTTCTGCCTTCTTTCTGATTGGATTGTTTGTTTTTCTAAGATTCAGCTGCATGAGCTGTTTGTTTATTTTGGAGATTAAGCCTTTGTCAGTTGCTTCCTTTGCAATAATTTTCTCCCATTACTGCATTCATTTATAAACATGCTTTATCTCACCTCCTAGACTATAAGCTGCAAGGCAACATTATCCCTTATCCTCAAGTCTAAAATGGCATGCCTGGTGCCTTTCATAGGACAAAACTCACACCGTTATGGAATACTTTTGGCCCTCCCTAGTGGTTGATATCACAATTCCTTTACCCTGCTGCTTTTGAAAGGCCTATTTATTTTTAGGAAACTGGGTTGCTGTAATTTCTCTTGAAGTAACTTTGAATACACCGTTATTAACTGGTATATTTAGTTGGGTTTTTCAGTGCAGATTCAGCATCACAGTTTTACTGGGAGAAGAAGAGAATTTCTCCTACCACAGGCCTGGTTCCCTTTTGGTCTGATTAGGTTATGTCTTTTATTTTAAAGAAGACAAGATAGTGCTTTTTCTGGCTGATAGTGGAACAGGTCCTCATTACCCATAGGTAATGGATGATCTTTGGGATCCATTACCTGTCTTACACTGAAAAATGTCATAAACAGAGCCAAAGACAGATTTGTTCTCCTTTTGATTTCAGTCAAGAACTTTTGGGGGTTTGGATGGTATCACCCTTAACATTATTGGCTTCCCAGGTGACCCAATGCTAAGGCAGAAGATGCAAGAGATGCCGATTCAATCCCTGGATCAGGAAGATCCCCTAGAAAAGGAAATGGCAACCCACTCCTGTGTTCTTGCCTGGAAAAGCCCAGGGACAGAGGAGCCTGGTGGGATATAGTCCATGAGGTCAAAAAGAGTCGGACCCAACTGAGCACAAGGTGGGGGACCCTTAACTTTAAATGTAAAGGCAGATCTATAGACTTTTTCTTGCATACTTGCTTCTTTTTATTTTTAATTTTTGACCCCAGAATATCTCATGTTTGTGTAGACAGAGGCCAACTGGCAGCTGATAGACCATCAGTTGAAGGGATGGTGACAGCAGCAGTGGAGGACTGATAAGCCCTTTGGGGAGAAGGATGCTCTTCCAGAAGTAGGGCCCACTTATCCAGAAGGCAGCAAGGAAATCACTGGTGGCAGCTGATAAACAAACAGGAAGAAGGGACAGGCTTCTGTACATCTTTCTCATTGGTAAACTTGCAGGTAGATGAAAATGCTTTCCAGGTGGTTTTTGCATTTGAACCTATAGGGGAAGTTCCAGTATATCCCAAAGCACCTAGTTTGAGAAATGCCACAGATTCCATCATAAAGACTTTTGTTCTGCAAACCCTTGAGGATGTCAGGGAAGGCACTCTTCAAATGTTCTGCAATCCTCTAAGGTGAATTATCCAGGTCTACTGCTGAAATCTAAGGCAATGAAAGGTCTCCCAGCCTTCCCATTATTCTGTTTTCCTTCAGTAAGTTACGCTTAACAAGTTTATATAAAAGCCCTGTGCAAAAAGAATCTTTGTAGGGTAGAGTTTCAACAGACTATACTTATCTGGAGTCATAAAAGTTTTTATTTTATTTTTTGATTGGTCACTATAGATCAAAAAGTATATAGAGATCAAGCTAGTTTTAGAGATTTCTTTTTTCTTTTCTTCTTTTTTCATGTTTTTATCGTTAGTAAATACACTAAACGCTGATTTTCAAGGAGCTGCCTGGCCATGGTGGTTATTTTTGGGGAAAAAAGCAACCACACGTCATCTTTCTTCTCTTTTAATTTAAGTTTTACACTAAAAATCTGTTTTGAGAGGGAAATGGAGCGTGTTAAGCTAATGACAGCTTTACCCTCTCTTATTTTTTCCGTGTCAGAGCAACGCTCCTTATAGGCTCCCTGGCCTGCCTGGATGTGGGCACTGCAGCCTTAAGTGAAGGCTCTAACGACTCGAAAAAAATAAAAACAAATAAATAGCCCCATTCCCCCCACTCCAAAGGGGGGAGGAAACTGTACAAAATGTGTTGGCAAACAGACGAATATATTTATAAAGGTATAGTTTCGGTGACTACAGACAAACCCCACGTTGCCCAGGAACTGTTAGATGCGTCCTGCTGAGAAACGTGCTTGGCTAGTCCGTGATTGCCTTTCGGATCCGCCCAGGCCGACCCACCAGGAGGACCCGCGTGAGGGGCCCCCATTTCCATTCTTAGGGAGAGGAAGCCGGGGACCCACGTGAGCTCGGAAAACAGCTGATCATCAGGTCCCAATACTTAACAAGCGTCCCCTAATTCCCATTTGGTTACAAAAATTCTCTCCTCCATTGCATATCCGCCTTTGGGCAGAGTGGGCCACGGTTCGAGAGAGAGGCCGCGATCGGGCCGGGGTCATCCCTGGGCGGTAGGTAGGGTCGGACTCTTTTAACACCCAGGGCTGCTGAAGCGACAACTCCAAGCTCCCGAGAACTCCGCGGCGGTCCCCGCCAGAGTAGCCGCCGCGCGGGCCCCTCCCTCTTTCTCGGGTGAATGAATGATTAGTCAAAAAGCACCTCCCTGCCCCGGTTCGCCCGAGGTTGGATGGGAGGAGTCATGGAACCACTGTTCCTCTTTTTTTTAAGGGCTAAAGAGTTCGCCTCTGTGCGTGTAATATCGACCTTGCGTGTCGTTTCAAATTCTGTCTTCCCTAGTCGCACGACGCACAGACACAGACGCACTGGGAGGTGATCTCGCCCCGCTGTCCGCTCAGGGCCTGTCGGCCGTCGTGCCCCAGCCAGAGGAAGGCAAAGCAGAGTGAAAAGTTGCCCGCACCCCCACCCCGCCCCAGGCGCTGGGTTTATCACTCCTTCCCAAAGCTGGGGCATCAGGGAACGAGCGGTGGTGGGGCGCCCTGCGTCCCATATTCTCCTCCCTCCTAGGGTCGGAGCACCGGAGAAGGAGCAGGGTTGGCGCTGCATCCCCCGTAAGGGGAGGGATCCTTCCCCACCCGCCCCCCGGGAAAGGGAGGAGGCGCTGCGCGCTCCGGGTGGTGGAGACGCCTGCCTCGCTCCGATCCGTGCCCCGGGGCAAGCGGCCTCCCTCGAGGGTCTGGGGGAGCTGGCTGGAACCCCGGCGGAGACAAGCGCCCAGCGCGTTCCCCGAGGCGCTCGATGCGCCCGGGTCTCCGGCGCCGGAGCGAGCGTGTGAGCGGACCGAGTGGAGAGCCGGCGGGGCGGGTAGGCGGTGGGAGAGCAGAAGTGGAGGACGCGGCAGCTGCAGCAGCGGCGCGCCCCGGGGCAGTCGCTGCAGCCCCGGCGGCGGCGGCGGCGGAGCAGCGGTGCGCAGCGGGCAGCGCAGCCACGCCTCTCTGCCTATCTCCCGCAGTTCCGATACCCCCTCCTCCTGGCCCCCTCTCTGGCGTGGAGGAGCCGACGACTAAACCGCTGCGAGCAACTCCTTAAAAATGTCTCTGGCTTCCTCCTTCTTGACAGGTAGGGGAGGGGTCGGGAGGGACCGACCCTCCCAGACGCTGGCTTGGTACCTGGGAGAGAAAGCGCTGACCGGCCCCGGGGAGGGTGGGGAACGAGCACCTCGAAGCCTGCTCCTCGCTGGCGCATGGGGATGAAGGAAGCCCTTCGGGGTTAAGGGGTGGGAAAGCAGTGAGTGGGGAGCGGGCAGGCTGTTGACATTAATAATGTAGTGATAACGGAAATTCTTCTATTTGAATTTGAAAAGTTCCTTTGTTATCTTTAGTTTTCTTCAACCTTTAGTTTGATCTCTTCTCCCGTGTGCAATTAAAGAAAAAAAAAGAAAAAGAAAAAAAGAAACTGCATCGTTTTCCACCCATAGGCCTGTCTCTCTCTACAGGGTTCCGATATAGCTTCTTTACTGGTAGTGATCTTTAAAGCACCCACCCTCCAGATCTTGAATTTAAAGAAATTATCATATTTTAAAAGGGTAATAATAGCAGGATATAATAATTACATGCTTTCAGGCAGGTGAAGACCTCAGCTGCTATTCTGAAGGACATACTTTACTGACACCTGGTGCAGAAAAGAAAATATTGAGTCTATTTCTAAGAAAAGAGGAAAGAAGATTGTATTTCGAAAAGTAATTTCAATTCAACACAATATGAGGCAGATTCATATAAAGGCCTGTTCATTGACACAGTCCTGAATTCTGTTCAAATTTAAAATCTGCCTTAAAGGCCAGTTTGAATTTTTTGCTTATGGGAATGTTTGTTTAGTTGAAATGGTTTTATAAAGGAGAGGTATTATTAAAGATCCAATGAAATACTTGGAATTGTGCTTAAACCAACCATCTGAGAGCACAAAATACATCTATGTAGCACAGGCTTTAAAAAAAACCTGTTCTAATAAAATTATTTAAAGTAGGTTTTTTTCAGGAGGACTTTTTTGGGTGAATTTGATTATTTAAAACTCATTAGGGATTTTTGAAATTTGGAAATAGTTTTTTCAAAAAGTATTAGTATAAAAATTCTATTTTTGTAACAAGGCCGTGCAGCTAAATTTAAATAACTTTTTTCCCCTTCAGGTTCTGTTGCAAAATGTGAAAATGAAGGTGAAGTACTCCAGATTCCATTTATCACGGATAACCCTTGTATAATGTGTGTCTGCATGGTGAGTATGGAGATCAGGTAATGGGAAATCAATTGCTCCCTCTGACAAGGTGAATCCTTTAGCTGTAATTTTATGACCAGATCTTAAAAATTGCTTTTGGTCATTACAAAACTGCAGATGGCTGATGAATTGAATTCCGTTGAATTTCCAAGTTTTATGGACTTTGGCAGTTTCTATTTCATCAGACTGGAGATGTTTATCTTTGACATCAGGTTGCAGAAGTAAACTTAAGATGGACTTGGTATAGCATCACCTCAGTGGTAATTACCACTAGCATTTCTGCTCCTGGGAATGGCTATTGCCACCAAATCATAGGTGCCACCAAACTTTCTGCTCTGATTCTGTTGTCTGAACTCAGTGTGAAAATGATAACATTTAGGTATAAAGGTCTGGGATAAGGTATATGACAAGGGGAAAGAGAGGTTAGTCACAAAGCACAAACGTGGGGACAAGATGTAATCTTGAGTTTCTTTGCCCCTTATATCCTAAGCTCTCAAAAACAATCTTTATATATCTGATTTGGAAGCCACGAGTCAGAAAGGACATTTTGTCCTTAGTAGAGGATGGCACTTGGCTGTCAGCTGCTTAGTTAACACTAGCGCTGGCTGGTAGATTAAAAAAATGATTTGTTTCAGCTTATTTTAGCTTTATAGTTAATGATAAGATCTAATAAATAAACACATGGGGGAGATTAAATTATATGAATAAGAATTTCTGAGCTGAAATAGCGACTCACAAAGAACAGTTTTGTTTAGAAGTGTTTTACATGCCAATCACTTTTGGCAAGCCTTGATTAAAAACTACACATCACAAAACCCTGTTGGAAATACATTAAGGCAGTCGAAGTCAAATGCAAAGCCCCCAAATGATAGATGACTGCTTGTTATCAGATCAACATGCTGTATGCAACCAGAGAAGGGAATTTTCTCTGTTTAGGGGAAAGCCAAGCCATCTGGGTTTAAACTACCCGAAGTTTTTCATGACAAGAGATGAGGTCAATGTTGTGAAATGATAAATGGGTGAAGGTGAATGTCTGTATCAAATGATTATCAGGTTCTGAAGACCAAGGAAATCAGCAGAAATAGAGGTAAAAATGCATTCCATTTCCAGAGATGATAAGTGTTGCTGCTTTAACAAAAGAGAGCTGAGAGAGGGACAATTAGGTTTGTGTTTATGAGCTGCCTTGTTAATGAATGATTTTTCACCAAAGGACCTGTTGAAAAGGAGCTTTGCATTAAATTTTGGTTCAGTTGTGTATTTACAAATGTAGTGTGTCTGCCTCTGTATGTGTGTGTGTGTGTGTGTGTGTGTGTGTGTGGTGCGGGTGGAAAGGAGATGATTTCTTTATTTCTCCTATCTGCATAGTGTTAGTGAATTATTTTATCTTAATCTCATAAGATCTCAGAAAATGGGGTAATGTTTAAATGAATTTGGAATTCCACATGTGAAACTATTGTTTTTCTCCTCAGCAATAACGTTTATAATGTTTAAACACAGAGTTTGGGTTTTGCAAACTTTTCCCAAATAATATGAAAATTCTCCATATAGCATTTCCCTTTTTTGGTGTTCTTGCCCTGGTGGAAATAGTGCCTTTCCCCAAAAGTGCAGCTTACTGCTATTAAGACCTTGCTGTTTTGAAGGAAGAGTGAATCTGAAGAAAAAAGATGCGTCGGTTGGAATTCTGGAGCGATACTTATATTGATTATATTCAGAAGGGTGGTAGGTTCATTTATATGTTTGAGTAACATTTGGAGGTATCTGCCTTCATGAGAGCAATCAGAAATCCTTTCCAAACACATAAAGTCGAGACTCGCATTCTGACTCGCTTGCTTTTCAGAGGATGCCTCAAAGTTCCCCTTAGCTGAAAGGTTCAGTGATATGTTACCATGACTTTTGCAGAGGTTTAGGATTATGGGGCCCAAGTTGTCATAGTTATTATTGTTTCCCAAGCATTTGTAGTACTTGATAAAGTTGAGTAAGGCTAGATGGACAACTGTTTCTTTATTTGTAAGTTTCCAAGGGACCCACTGCGGTATATGAATTTCAAAGCACCTAGCCTACCATGAGGCTAGGTGACAATTTTATATTTAGGCTGGAAGGTAGACTTATTTAGCAAACAGGTAGTGTCATAAACAACTAACACTTATGAAATACTTTATTTGCTGGCACTTATTGAAGACTGCATCATTTCATTTAATCTTCACAAAAATCTTTTGAAGATTTTTACCCCTCCCCCCATTTTACAGATGAGGAAACTGAGGCTAGAGGATTTAGTAGCTTGTAAAGGTCATATTTTAGTAAATAGTGGAGCTGGAACTCACTCTCACCTGCCTCTGGAGCACATGCCTATAGTCAAGTGAAAGGCTATTTTCTAAGTTAGAGACGTGAAAAAGCAAGGAAACAAATAGAAAGATTGTTGAGTTATTTGATTTTTTGGCATTGCTTGAGTTATTCTGCTTTTTTCCTTTGAGTCTTTTAGGAGTTCGGTTAGCTAACATTTGTTAATCACATTATATGAAAGGAAAATCTCGTTATGATTTCAGTTGACCTGCAGGGAGCTTTCGTTGTGAGCTAGTTTTATGTATGTATGTTAAGAGGGTATGTAATAGTCAAAACTGTACTTTGGATAAAGAAAATAGTCATATTTAGTTTGTGTTGGTCCAGCCTTTTGGCAGAAAGCTACCTAAAGCTGAGTATAAGCTCATATCTTATTTCATAACAAGTACTAAAAAAAAAAGCTAACCTCAACGTACGCTTAAAAAAGACGTAAAATGTTACAGTTGAGAGGAAATAGGTGGCACAAAATCCTGCATATAATTACAGTGTAAAAGCTAGAAAAATCCCACAGAATCAACTTGGCCTGATTTAAACTTTTAAGCTCTGAAATGTTTCAAAGGTGGAATGAACTCATTTCTGTGGGAATTTTGAGGATGACAGCTGATGCAGTGGCCACGGCGAGCAGAACTGAATAATTTTATTCTCATTTATCCTTGTCTGCCTGGACCTCCTCTTGCCAGCATCAGTTGTGGTCCAAGAATAACCAGTTTGTCAGCTGCTGATGGATATTATTTTAAAGTGTGTGGGTTCAACTGCTCAAGGCGGAAGGTGAGAAGTTGGACTATTGTCCCGAAATCCAGGGAAGCGGGCAGACAGTTTGGATTAAAGATGCAAACGCTTCATTGTTCAGTTAGAAAGCAAAGCACCGCTTTTCCTCGTCTTACAAAATGGTCTTTTGTGGGGCTGGGGAAGGAAAGCCAGACTTATTGCTGTTTTGTGTGGTGTTTTCCCCTTTCTTGCTAGAATTTTTTACCCATAATGCCTAGAAAAACATATTGGTGCCTTACGTGAAGTACAGTTGATAGGAGCCAGCCCATCTCAACTAATGAATCAAAAGTGGCCCTCTGGATCTTTTGGGCATCCCCAAACCCATCCAGTGAACCTGAGGATATGGTACCCCTGCTTCTCACCCCTTTTCCACCTAACCATAACACAGAAGGAAATGGCAAAAGCCAGTGAGTTCGGCCCAGTACTGGAAACACGAGAAAACTTGGGAGGCTGGGACTCAGAAAACAGAAGTCAGTCTGAGCTTAGTTTGGCATACGTTTTGTTCAGCAAAAAACATTATTCTGAGGTTTAAATTTCCTCTTTTAAATCCAGAGGTGCAATTTAGAAATGGACCCTCTGCTCATAAAAAACAATGTGAAATTTTGTGTTACAAGAAGTGGGGCTCCACCTCGCTTGGAGCCAACAAGGGGTGCAAACAGAGGGGCCTTTGTCTGCTGTCTTCTGCTTTTAATCACAGAATCCTCTGTCACTAAACAAGCAGCTACCAGCATCTTTGATTCTCTTGGGTACTTTATCTCTATAAAAGCCTCATGTTTTTTATTGTTCAAATTAACTGGCTAGAGAATAGTTATCTATTAACTGAACAAGTGTAAGGCACGTGTTTGAGGATGACGGAGACAGCAGTGCATCAGGATTCAATTCGTGTATGTATGTGTGTGTGTGTGTGTGTGTGTGAGNGCGACTGAACTGAACTGAACTGAACTGAACTAATTTACAACATCATACTGACAAATTCGCTAATACCAGCTTATAGACGATTATTATCACTAACACTTTCTTGGGGCTCATAGAAGTGGAGCAAATGCCCTGAAGGTATATAGTTACTAAGAAACAGACCTGTGATGTGAGAACAGCGTTTTCTCTGCTAAACCAACTTGCTTTTGCAGGTTGTTTACTATTTCCAAATGTCTGCAGATCCCTCCAAGGGCTTCAGAGAGTTATCTCAACCTCTGCAAAGCTGACATAGGCTCACTCTAGGGAGTAGTTAGAGTGATTTTGTCTTCTAACACAAACCAAGTATGGACTTGGCGGGCCCTTCAGAGGAAGATGCAGTGCAGGCAGCTTATTGGCTCGTATCATATCATTTTGGCAAAGTTTTTTAGCCCTGGCATCAGATAGGCCTGGGTTCCAATACTGGCTCTGTTGTTTAATTGCTAAGTGACGTCCAGCTCTTTTGCGACCCCATGGACTGTATCCCATCAGGCTTTTCTGTCCATGGGATTTCCCAGACAAGAATACAGGAGATGGTTGCCATTTCTTTCTCCTGGAGATCTTCCCAACCCAGGAACTGAACCCTTGTCTCCTGCATTGGCAGGTGGATTCTTTACCACTGAGCCACCCGGGGAGCCTGACTTAGTCTCTTACTGCTGGTGAACTCAGGAAAGTTTTTTCGCCTTTCTAAACCTCCATTTCCTTATCTGTAGAGAGAAATGACTGTCATTAACAAGCTCATAGACTTGCTGTGAGAACTAAATGAGATAGAACATTTAAGACTTGGTCCAAAGCTTGGCATATAGTCAGAACAATTCATTATTGTTATTGTTGATAATGATGTTAATGTTTAAATTCTTATTTCCTCACATAGAATTAGAGGCATCAGAAAGGAGAGAAAAGGGGGGACTTCACTGGTGGTCTAATGACTAAGACTCTGTGCT